GTCAAAGTGGTGTTTGCTAAAATCAGTCAACTAACCAGAGTTCCGACTACAGCGTCCTCCCTGTGAAAGGGTCTGAAACGTATGCCTCTTCTACGTTCATTAGCAACTTGACGATTAACCTCAGATCTCGGCAATAAATCTCGGGCGCACTTTTCATCGGGAGATGACATGTTGTAGTGTTTTCGTTCAGTTACAAAAACAGGAATATTGCTTCCACTCTAAGACAAGAGTCAAACTGGAATGATCGTTAACTTTTAAACATAGTATATTTCAATGCACGACAGACAATGTCGTACGTTTACTTCAAAACGAGAAGATAAAGCCGTTTCTACCTCGATGATTGAATACTTTATGATCCAACCCCTGTACAGTGTGTGCGTTCAACGAACAACCTGCTTTATTCATGAACAGGATGAAAAAATATTCTGAAACTGTTCATGTATCCTTAGTGAGAACTTGGGATGTTTCATTTCAACCTAGCTTTTACAACATACTTACATTCATTTATCATATGTTCGATGAATAATATGTCATGTGGACAACATATAATTTAAGAAGGACGTGTATGGTTAGATTCAGGGTTTAGATTCTAGTATGTATCTGAAGGTATCTACCCCGACTACATTCCAAATAGCTGGCATTCCTAAAGAATTCCAAATTTCTTCATGATAGGGTGACATTCCATTTGCTACTGATTTCAGTATGTATCCGAGGGAATCTACCCCGACTTCATTCCAAATAGCTGGCATTCCTCAGCTAAGACATTGTAACAAAGGCCGCATTCTTCACATTCTAAACATTCATGCATAATGGTTCCGTTCTCATTGTGACGTTATGCATGTCTATTAGCATAACATTAGGCTCATTATTATTCATAGGGCGCCTTCCACGGAAGGCGCTGAAGGTATTAGAATCCTACAACTATGATGTTCAAAGCCAACTCACTCACTCACCCAGATACATGCTGACCTCAACTGCAGATTTACTGCCGAATGTTGACGTTCTGCTGTTCATGTTGACACCTGTGATGTTGTTGATGGGCTTGATGGTGTGGTCTTACTGCAACATTCTTGTCCTCGTCGTTGCAAGATTTGTACTAACCTTTACAATACCTGGCTGCGTTGAGATCTTACAACCTCGCCATAGATGGTCACGGTGTCTTTCTAATCAGGCAATGGCCATTCGAGTTAGCGAAGCGTTCAGACAATCTTATCCGATTTCTGTATTGGAAAACAAAATTAATCCTTCAGTTCCAAATGTAAATAATAAAGGCAGCACATATCTTTTATGATGGAATTTTGATAGGGTGTACCATCGAAGGAATATCTGTGTTCTGTGAAGGTTTTCTATTTCTGGTTCCACATCAGCAGTGTTACATGTTTGCTGGGTTAAAAATGTAGGGCCACAGGACACTGATACAGATCTTAATCCATTTGGGATTTAAATGTGCCATAGTACAGTGATAAATATGTTAATACGAGCCATATTGCAGCATTTATGATGTTGTCGTAGTAGGGCAAGGAGTCATTCCACACATGACATCCTTACCCAGTCAGCTTGTTTGTCTGTATTAACATGATAAAAAGATACAATTGTCATGATTTATAGAAATTGAGCTTGATGTTTATATTTTCTTCAGCAGTGACTTGCACCAATCATTCCTGGCCCGAGGTGACCTGCTGTTCCTCACCAACTACAAGGAAGAGCCCATCCGTGTGGGGGAGATCGTGGTGTTCAAGGTGGAGGGGCGAGACATCCCCATCGTACTCAAAGTGATGCTGGTCCTACACGCTCAGTACTTCCTGTATTTGTGCCTACACCCCTTTCTTCCATCGTACGTTAAATAGTTGTAATGTGTATCCAGACACATAGTTTTAAACGTATCCTATCTCACACTATGTATTTCTTCTTATTCTTCGATCCTGGTGTGGAAACGTCCTAGAACAAAGTTTCCAGTGTCTCCCTAGACCCAGCGTTGGGAAAGTCTGAGCCGTCAGCAGTAATTATTTTGTGAATTCTTTTTCAATATGTGGCACTGTACATCAGTGACGTCATAATATAATACGTAACTGTATTCAGTTTTCCGTGAAGATAAAGCTGAAACAGGTAGAACAATCCGTGTTGAGGAATTATATTTTGGAAATCTTTCCATGTGTGCTACTGAACACCAGTGAATCCTACCGCTTTATATATATACTCAACCAGAAAAGTTCCTGTGACACCAATATTTTGGTGTATTTTCGAAACAAGTCAAGTTTGGTTTTCAATATCGTACTACATGTATGGAATCAAGACACAAAAACGAGTGAGTGAGTTGGGTTTAATGCCGCTTTTAACAGTATTCCAGTTATATCACGGCGTGTCAGCTTAATGTGGCAGGAAAGCCCGAAGTGATGCAGGTATCAGACGTTTACCTCTTCGGTGAAACCCACGAGCACAGGTATGGTGCTGACAAACCAAGACACATAATCGGGGCGAACCGGCCCCTATCATATTTGGAATCGACCTGTTTATATGGAAGACCCATCTAGTCATGATAAACCTGTTACAAACGTAGCATACGAGTCTGACAATCTATATAAAAATGAAAAATGGTTGACCCGTTTTATCAGGAAAGTATTACCATTCATATATCACAATTCGGTGACTCGTTCTGACTGATGGCGACACTAGGCTGCCATAAATACAACACTGATACAGTGCCGTAATAGACGTACGTACAGTCGCACCAGGCGTTACAACCTATCATACTTCCTATCGTGCTCCTATTTATAGGTTCTATACATAACCTGGCAACCATCCACACCTTTATTTATTGGTAACGTTCATTATCCAGCCTTTAGGTGAGGCTGCTTGTACTAGTCCAGACTAATGCCGATTTATAGTGCTAGCACACTGAGATACCATGCCGCAGTTTAACATGAATACCCCACCCAGACACAGTATACTGACTCCGAGCCGACCAGTCCTTGTTTTAGCCCCTTAATGCCGAGCGCCAGACAGTGTAACAACAAGTACCATCTTTTAACGTCTTTTGGTATGACGCGGCTGGGGATCGAACCCCGGACCTTCCGCTCTCCGGGCGGACGCTCTACCATTAGACCATGGAGGCGGTCCTCCACACCTTTACTTCCTACTTATTGGTAACGTTCATTATCCAGCCTTATATTTATGAGGACTTTAGAGCTGCTTAAAGTGTCCCAGAACTCCATGCTTTCTGTCCAACTTTGAGTAATGGCTCTGATTGTTTGCCAAGTGTGCTTTTGTCACCAGCTTATATCATAGGTGATTATACTTTGATTTTTGCAGATAATATGAAAGCACAAACAATTATGTTAGCCAATCCATAGATAATTTACCAGATGCCGACAGTCATTTGAGTATTCGGTCATATGAACAATGCAGGGGTGTAAGTTCAAGCAATCTCACACAATCTCAAGTCTCATCCATGTACGGAATTGGCCAATGACCATCTCCTTTTTATGAAATATGAATTAACTCTCATGGTCAGTGCACTGTTTTATTAATATTAAAATACAGCCTCAACCTTCTTTGGAATCACAACTTACATCACAACTTGAATGATGGTGCCAAACAGATATGTTGGATGTTTTGTTTAAAATAAATGGGCATTCAAAGGTGTTAATGCAAGTGAAAATTAGATCATAAAAAAGAAGTGAAGTTTAATTCAATTTTCATTTTGTTTCCTTTATTAACTCAGAAATACAGCCGCAACAATATATTGAATCATCTTCGAAATCTGGTGCCATATAGACATGTTGGATTTTTATTAAATTACTACGCATTCAACAGCTGTTAAAAAGTGAAAATTGGATTATAAAAAAAGAAGTTCAGTTTAATCCAATTTTCACTTTTTCTCTTTAATACAGAAATACAGCCTCAACCATGTATTGAATCGACATTTTGAATGCTAGTGCCATAGAGATATGCTGGATATTTGTTTTAATAAATAAGCATTCAACAGCTGCTGGATTTAAAAAAAGAATCAAAGTTTAATCCAATTTTCATGTTTTTCTTAGAAGTAACATATATATACCAGACATAAATCACAAGTTTCCCTGATGCAGATGTTTTCTAATTTGTCAACAGGTTCTACCACACCAAGTCAGAATCCATCATTTAAAAAGCAGTTTCTGCAGCCTTCCGTGCAGATCACACGGTGTTAGGGGCGACTATTGGTCTGGAAACCACTTTTGCGATAACTATTGATATTAAAAGAAACTTGCAATAAATATTGATATTGGAAGCAACTATTGCGATAAATATTGATAGTTTTCAGTGTATCATTTGAGATGGATTTTAGAAATGAACGTGTAAATTACTACTCATGATCAAAAGAAACAAAAATTTGAACGGCAATGCATATAATTTATTGAAACTGGAAAACTATTTTAAATAGTAAAAAGTACAAACGAAACTATCGTTATTCCTAATTAAAGTTGATACTATTGATCGGAAACTGATTTAACAATCGATTTATTGACGTTAAGTGCTTACCAATAGCAAGATAACGATAGATGAAGGCGACACAATAGGTGTAGCTGTGCCAAAACAACTTGGGATGTTCCCTTGGATGCAGTTGTGCTATGTCATGCCAAAACAGAAACAACTTACCTACCTCTCCAGATGACGATGACTAGAGGTGACATTATTTCATATTTTATTTTTAATACTTCATAATACTACAAGTATTCTCATGTTTGTTTCTTCACTCAAATGATAAACTAGTGAAATGCTCACACAAAAGTGCAGTATATCTACAATTTTGAGTGAAAATATGTCCATTTTAATTTAAATCTTAATTTGGGTATGGGTTGAAGTCGCTAGAGAAATTAGCTTTCAATTTTTTTATTCATTGTTGGTGATCAATTTACCACAGAAGTCAGTGAATAATGTACATCATCGAAAAGACAATGAAAAAAGCTTCCATATGATATATTACATGACCATGTTGAAGAACTATATTAGATGTTGATTTTGAAAACAGGTAAAAATGGCGGCCATCTTGAAATTCACAGAAAAACTTGAAACATCATTTTACTTTATGAGTTTACTAGTTTGGTGTTTTAAGCATTGTTGCAATTATCCCACTCATCCACTACAGGAAAATGTGGGAACGAAAATCTTGTTTTTCACCCCTGGCCAACTGACTACAATAGGAATATCTGTTTGCTTTTACTACCTGTCAGAAAGTTCCAAAATTAAGAAAACCAGCGACAAAAATATTGTGCTATCTTCCCCCACATTGATTTAAAAAATGCCACAAGACGCTTAACCAAGATCTGTGTCCGGGCGCATTACCATTTGGCTGTGGTGGTGGATCCTGAGGCCTGAAACATACATCGAAAAGGTACCAAGGACTATCCACATGTACTCGTTCACAAATTTAAATGACAAATGAGGAAAGTATTGAACAAATCATTTTGCCCTGATCTAAAATTGAAATTGAACTCAATTTGTATCCCACTTTGTGATTGAAAAGCACATGCAAAAAGCTGTGAATCTCAAAGAATGATTCGGAAATTGTTGTACACTACTTTATAAGATGTCAATTCTCTGAAACACAGATTTTGCAAATTACTGATAAGGTTAATACCGCGTTCTCGTGTACACCTTTGATGTAATGATTAGAATCAACTGCCAACTTTACCTTGGCCCTGTTCAAAAGCAGTCTACCCGCAGAAGACTGTAGAGGGACATCCTTGATCATGGTGTTTTGATGATCACGCCTTATAATTTACAACCTGTAACCTACCTCAGAGATACATGGCCATATATCTCTTTTTCTATGCCAGATTTTTTATTTTGCAAGATCGAGTCTTCATTGAGTGTAAACAAACGACCTATTGCGTAATGTTGTTGTATTTCTGAGTGGTTGTTGTCAGCACCATGGTAAACAATGCATATTTGATGCTTCTTTGTTTGTTTACTTTGCCCTCAGGAGTATTCCAGCTATAAAACGGCGATCGAGTCTGAAGTAGACAAACCAGCAAATGGTATTATGAGCAACGATCCAGGAAGTCAAGTAACGACGACATGTAATCAGTCCAGACACAGAACCTGACCAACCGACCATTTGTTCGCCTCAGGGAATTCTAGGATGAACATCTATTTCGATCTCCGGTTCCGATCATACCAAAAGATGGTACCTGCCTTGAGCTCGGGCTTAAGGGATAAAACAGAGGCTGGCCATGTCAGAATAATTTATCTGAACGGGGCAATTCATGTTAAACTGCTGCAGAGCATCTTCGTCGGCCAGCACTATAAAACCGGCACTGGTCTGGTCTAGTGCAAGCTGAGGCACACACTCGTGGATGCATGTCACTATGTTATTGAAACAATTATGAACGCGACGTTAAAACCCATTTCACTTCACTTTGGATGGACGTTAGCAAAGGGGGTTTTACAAAATTTAATATCTTATCAAAAATATTAAAAAGTACCTGGTTTGAACAGTATTTGTTGCAACTGACGTCGGCCGGGGATTGTTCGGTACCAGGTTGCCATTACGTTTAGTCATGTCAGCACCACTTCTGTTTTGAGGGCACCCTTGCTGTTTCTTTGGATGTGTGTATGCCATCTTTACAAGTTTCATCAAGGCATCAACATCAATCCAAACAGCTTCATTTGACCTAGTAAAAGATATGGCATTTCTAGAAAATGCACAGCTTGTAATAGGCTACAAATGGTAACACAAAATTACACAGGTACAAACACTGGTACATTACCAATATGATACGTGAAATTTCTACTAAACGTATCCCTATTTCTAAAAGTAACTGCACTCACAACCTAGTCCCAAGGTTGAGCAATGAAATAATGCTAGAAAACAAAGAAAACAGGCTCTCAATCAGTCTGAGAGAAATCGATCTACATTACCTTCAGTTAAAAAACTCAGAAATTAAACTAAAACATTATTATGGCAGCAAAGAAAAATCATTGGCAAACTCTCTGTAATACCTTTAGAATTGGCAATAGAAATACAAGAACATTGTGGAACAAATTAAAAGGCATTTAAGGTAATTCCGAAAAAGCTATTTATAACAACATCAAGACCCTTTCCACAAATAAGGGAAATGCAATTGCTGCCCATTTTTCGTAAACAGGTTGCTCCATGAACCACCCAAAATGAGCCTGACTCTTACCGCCACATCTCACTTCAACACTTCTCACATCTACAAAATTATGGAATCAATAATAAAAATCAGACTCAAGTTGGAAATCAAAAGGGATTAGGCCTGACACCATAAAAAGACTAACTTTACACCACATGTTACATTGAGAACATGACATCAGAACAACACAAGCACAAAAACAATACACTTTTGCCATCGATATTCATAGATTTTAGCAAGGCTTTCGGCATGGTTTGGTATAATGGCCTCATTCAAAAATCAGGAATATGAAGCCATTTATTGGCGTATTCCAGCTTTCATTTACTCTTTTCTTACTGGTCTACCAGTAGGGGATTTCACATCAATATTACAAAAACTCATGTGCTTCCTATAAACAAAAAAACTTTTATGACAAACTATACACCCAAACTAGAATTACATAACCAAGACAATATTTTCCAAAAGGAGCAAAGTTCCTGTGTGATGTGCATTGGCTCCCGTCTTAGATATGCATCAGAATAAACCCTCGAACTTTGAATTTTGTGTTTCCAGCGAGGTACCGCTATGGTGAACACCTGATCCCACTTGATTTTCAGTGGTCCATTGATATAATTTCCACAGCTATTTTGCACTTTAATCCAAATGTTATCTGTGTCAGCGGATAATCGAAACTGGTTAATCTCTTGCTTTGACGTTGTATATTTACATCAGACTAAAAGGTGTAAATCACAAATGTTTTCCCTATATTTCAGATTCTTACAGCAAAATTAAACAACCGTAAAAAACCGCCGAAGTCTAATGATAGCATTATGCAACTAACCTCAGTACTAATACCAACAGAGAAAACATTAACTATTTTATGGATATCTGGCCAAACACATGTCCCTGAACCTGACCTGGCAGCCAAACACTCATACCCTCCCTTGGCAAAGAGCCGCGATGGGGTCCTACAGTCAAGACATGACCCTACATCACGGCCGAGAACACCATCTTCATAAATCCTATTCAGACTGTGGTGGCCGAGTACCCTCGTATTTTTGTGAGTTTTAAAAAAAAGGTTCCCCTGGGTTTGTGACTGAAAAGTTGATATCGCTGTACTCACAGATAATTTCCCTATCTATTCACGTACTTGTCATAATATTATTTCCTCAAAGTGAGGTAATAACAGACCGATAACCTGTATAACCAACTGGGGTATTTCCAAATGACGACATCCGATGAGCTACACCGTTCTTTTTGTCTGTTTGTTTAGGATGAAGAAATTGATAAACATGCGCCCTTTATCGAAATCTTTATAGATCACAGATAACCAATCAGTGTACAAAAATGCGTAAAACAAATATTGCCTCTAGCCTCCAAGTTTATTTAGCTGTCCTTGCAGACGGTAGCCCAGTCTTTGGTCACGCTCAGTTTGCGTTGCGTATCATCCGGGTACTCAAGGGGAAAAAACAATAACAAAGGCAAAAACCAGTCCGGGGAATTGCGTTAGATCAGTGCCCCTTTAATACTAAAATAAATATCCATGCAGGTAAAGCATTTCGGATTTCGGATGGCGTCGATAATACGATTACTACTCCCTTGTTGTCATCCACGTTTTCTGGTATAACCCTACACTTGTGTATTTGTCGTCATTCACTTGATGCTCAGTTAATAAATTTATTACAGGTACAATTAGTGGTAGCACCACTAAGATTACCTGACAAAGGTTCCCATTTGGCATTTATTGTGTCTGGGGTAATTATTCAATCTAAATCCAGGTTTGAAGGGAGATGAAATGTGTGTTATGTAATATGCACGTGGCGGCCCAGCAAGAGGTGAATGATCAGTTGATTTATTTTTTTGGTAAATCAACGGATCGTTCCTAGTCATCAAAGGATTGACAGAAAATACGTTGATTGATTAATCACTGTTATCTTGCACAGTGGATATGTCAAAAGTGAGTGTTTACATGTCTAGGTTTACTTAAAGAAAGGGAATACACTCGTATCATGGCGTGAAGTGCCGATGTAAAAACAACATACTTTGTTCAAAGGGTTAACTGATAATACGTTGATTGATTGCTCATTGTTATCTATTACTCAATGGATTTTTTAGGAACCGTGGACGTAATGAAAATAGTTGTCACGTGGGCTTTCTCAGCCGACCCTTGAGACTTGACACCTATGTGAAACACCTGAAGCAATCTAAGTGATCAGTTGAGAAACGAACACGGGTTATCAATATCCCGAAACGATATATATCTTTACAGAGACACGTGACATCGAATAAGTTTCTTTGTACAGCTGCAGACGAGTGGGATATTGTTCCTTTGTGTGGATATTCACGGATACATTCCTCGAACAAGGAAGCTGCCTAAAATTTATACACATAAATTTGGTAGGTTATAATTATGATATTTGCATTTTGTTTTCCTTCATTTGCTGTAGCATTGAACCGGTTCGTTCTTGTTCCTCTACGTTTTGGTTGGGAAATTCTTCAATGCGCTATAGACGTTATTTTCACAAGTCTTTTCCTTTGTAAGCGTGTATATCTTACCGTCAATTTGTAAAATGTGATTCTCTCAGGCAATTTATAAAAAGTGTAAATATTTTAGTCATTTTGACTGAAAAATCTGTCCATATTGACCAAAATTGATTAAGGCGATCAAAAGGGCCTAAAAACATCACAACAGAATATTATGTAGGATTAGAAGCCAAACAACGTAGAAATGAACTTTTCATCGTAACATTTTCAGTCTCTTGTATTGACATTAAACATCAAAATGTTTAGAATTCGTTATCATAATAATACAGATGGAAATGTTTTTCAGTCACTTTGTAAAAAAACTGAATATTTAGGCGTTTAATTAATTTGAAAATGTTACACATATTGACAGTAAAAACATATACACACTATAAAAAAAGCAATGCTCAGGTGAAATATTTACTTTCTGTTGCAAGTCAAAATAGTGTAAACAAAAATCGCAAAATTACCAAGCAAGTTCCTTATCAAAATTTCGTCACCATTACCGATGCTACCCACAAAGATACTTACATGTCCTTATTATCTCGAAAACTATATTTCATGTTGTTGATCACAGTGACCATACGCCCTTATTACTACCAAAGTGACTAATGCGCTTACAAATAGCGCAGCAGAGGTCGCGAACTAGTCTAGATTTCTTCTATACATCCGGGTACTCCCTGGGAAAAAACAACAACAAAGGCAACAACCAGTCCCGGGGAATTGCTTAAGATCAGTGCCCCTTTAATGTTTCGACGGTAGCAAGCGGACATGTTGACATGGTGTGCGCATGCGCTAGATTTCTATAGTCTGTTTCTGTATGGGTTTTGAACAAGCTGTATTCTGCACGGACGATGCATTTAAACCTTTTGTGTATATCCCGATGATACTGTAGTTCTATAGACAAATGCATATGACATCATTTTTTTCATTGTTGTTTTAAATAAGTCTCAATAGCAATGTATTTGAAGTCATGTATTTATCTTTCACGGGCGAAACTACCATAGTAGCAGGAGGGCATTTGCTTTCACCTAAAAAAAGCACAGTTTTGTTTTTAAGTAAATCTCAATTTACCATCTATGCAGTAAAGTCGAACTAGATATTTATTGTCTTACTTGAAAATCGGAATCTTTACTACGCACTACAGGATTTTAGTGGTAGATCGTTTGTGCTCACACAATTATCATAATGAAAGGTCGGCTATCGTTAAAATATGAAAAGCTATGTACACATTTCATTTGTCATCGTAGATGTTTCTTGAATGAAAGTCGAAAATGTTTGGTGAAACACGTATATCTATATATATATATATATATATATATATATATATATATATATATATATATTACAATGTTTAAAAAAAATATAATTAAAAAATACCAATATTGGTTACAAAAAAAACCTAACATACATGGTACGTAATGCTGGAAATAGCGTTTAACAACATATTTACAACTTTTCTGCGTGCTTTCCTCTATGGACTACCGATGGCGGCAACAGAGACATACAGCTAGTAGAAAACTCATACAGAAACAGACCATAGTAATCTGGTTCTCGGTCTGTTATTACCGGTCGCGTTGTGGAAATAAAATTATGACAAGTACGTGAATAGATAGAGAAATTAACTTGGGGTACAGCGATATCAACTTTTCAGTCACAAACCCAGGGGAAATATTTTTAAAAAATCTCAGACAAATTCGAGGGTAATCGGCCACCAGTCTGGATAGGATTTATGAAGTTGGTGTTCTCGGCCGTTATGTCTTGACTCCAGGACCCATATGTTTACAAATATTTCCTGTTTTTACTTTTATCGTTACTTAAAACCTGCACCCCTTCCACGTCATTGGATGCAAAAAAGAACAAATGATGATGCTGATGATGTGTGTCAAGTGTCGTTACTGCTATTGTCAGCGGTTATGGTGCCAGTATTATCCCCATGGTGCTTTGTTAGTATGGAACGCTGCCTGCCTGAAATTCTATGGGTACTGGAATAATTCACGAATACAAATGATTCAATGCCAAAAGAAAAAAACTTGCTTCTTATGCCATTTTTTGTCTATCCTGATAACAATAAGCGAATTAATACTTACGTGTTTTTCTTGTCAATACCATTCGTATGAATCCCATGTGCTACATATCTGCCGTTCCTCAGCTGGTACACCGGGGACCCACTGTTGCCAGGTGTAGTTGCATCTCGGTACTGTAATCTTCGCTTGTTGACAGTGACTGTTGTTAACTTGATTTTCCACTGAGTGCCAGGTGGCCAGCCAGGGACGCCATCTCTCCGCTCTTCTGGTATCCCGGGATAACCAGACATATACAGGTCCTGATTCTCAATGTATTCATCCGTTCGTGGTTCAAGGTCAAAGGCACAGCATTTGTCGAGCATGTGTTTCTCCTTGTCCAGACAGATGATTCCATAATCGTACTTGCGACCATGTGTTTCTTTATATTCCCGAGGAACTTCAAAGTCCACTGATTTCTTTTTGATTGTTCCAAATGGATGACATTCTCCATCCCTCCCAAGACTGATGTGAATTTTAGCTTTGAATGCTCCCTTTCCTCTGTCCCATAAACAATGAGCTGCAGTCACTAAAAATGTCCCGCCGCCATGTTTGACGAGAAATCCTGTCCCTATTGCTTTTCCATTTCCATGTTTTAAATGTGCAATACCTGTGTATGGCTTTTCTGTTGTGACGGGTACACGCCGTCGCTCATCTCCAAGATCGCTGTCTACAGTTTCTTGTCCCATTGTTTTTGTGAAGACGACTGTTGAACTGAAATAACACGACCGTCAGAATGTGATACCCGGACGATAATTTAGGCGAATGCGTTGTAGTTATATTTAGTTACAGTTAATGGATTGTAACATGCCTGATGAATCATCGTTTGAAAGAAATATTGATCATGATTTACAATAGGAATCGATGCGTGATTTTCCTGTCGCACACGCCATCGATTTTGATGATTTGTATAAACTAACGTCATCAGCATTTGAACATAAATATTGACTGAATTTGTGAATGCAAGGACACAAAACTAATTCTCGCATTATTGCGTGACGTTTGACAGGTTAAAGTTTATACTTGGAGCCATGACTTTAGGACGAATGGTGACGAGTCGGTAACGAGTTGAAGCGTTGATGAGTTGAACAGTTGATGAGGTACAGAAAACTACAATAAACAATAGCTTTCTGTAAATTCAGAAACATATTTACCAACTTTCCTAGTATTTAGCACCCTCAAAATTACATCCAAATGAAACAATAAATACATTGACTACATTGAAATTATGCAAAATTAACAATCACACATTTGCAAATATAATGTAACAGTTGTGTGAAATATCTTATGTTCAGAAATAAACATAAAACCTAACAACGAAAGGCAAAGGTACCTTTGGGTCTTTACTTAGTTCAAATATAGCAGGCAGAAAGGTAAGAACCTGACAGCATGGGGGGTCCAATACACACTGGTGAGCATGTGCTTCGAAATGCATGAGCTTTGAAGAGGTCGTGAGCTTTGACACTGCACATGAAAGTTAAGGTCACGGGGTAGTGGAAAGTTACTGAGAACATATAAACATTGTATACACGTCTGGCGCTCGGCATTAAGGGGCTAAAACAAGGACTTGTCGGCTCGGTGTCAGTATACTGTGTCTGAGTGGGGTATTCATGTTAAACTGCGGCATGGTATCTCAGTGAGCTAGCACTATAAATCGGCACTAGTACAAGCAGCCATGCACACATACACGTGCATGCACGTCGCTATATAAGTGCAATAATCTTGGACGCGACGTTAAACCTCACCTTTTACCCGAGTTGCTCGAAAGGAGAAAGATAGGCCCCGGAAGGAACTAGGATGTCAACATGTATCCCCTGGGTACCTGGCGTAAGGTGCATGTCTATGCACCCTAAAGTGCGAATATATCCATTTCTGTTTCGTTTTTCCTGTCGATAACCTTTGCACGAATTGAACGTCTGAATGTAGTGCCATGTACAGCGAAGTATATACATGTTGGAACTGAAATGGAATATGTGACGTGTTGTTAAATCCTTTGTGTATGAGGTCACTGTTCCTGATGCTGACATAAGACAATGTTATAATGCCCTATTTCTTCCGTCTATAGAATGTTTATTCTAAAGGGCAATCATCTCCGATCTGTAATATTTTCTTGGAGGTGATAGTCAGGGCACATCGGTCAACATTGGTTCATCCCTGCGATCATCCCAAATGTGCACAATTCGGGTGTGCAACTCGACTGCTTTCGCACTCTCCCCTGAAAAAAGCTAATGAAAAATAAGGAAGAGAATTTATGTATGTCAACTTCTTTATTATGAGGAGTATATGCTTATTCCTTCAGCAGATGAATGAATGATATGAGGCAGAGAGCATATATATGTACATGTAGGAACATTAAAAGTAATAAGATAACAAAAATGAGAAACTTAACAAGGATAGCCAACAGATGATTGGCACTGATAGGCGATTAGCAATAGACAATGGAAGCCAACACTTTACAGTAATAAGCGCTGATAGCTATGGACAGCTGGAAGCCAGAACTAAATTAGCGCTGAAAGGTACACGGGAGGCCGGGGGTAATCAGCACTGAAAAGTACACGGGATGCCGGGGGTAATTAGCACTGAAAGGTACACGGGATGTCGGGGGTAATTAGCACTGATAGGTACACGGGAGGCCGGGGGTAATTAGCACTGAAAGGTACACGGGATGTCGGGGGTAATTAGCACTGATAGGTACACGGGAGGCCGGGGGTAATTAGCACTGAAAGGTACACGGGATGTCGGGGGTAATTAGCACTGATAGGTACACGGGAGGCCGGGGGTAGTCAGCACTGAAAGGTACACGGGATGCCAGGGGTAATCAGCACTGAAAGGTACACGGGAGGCCGGGGGTAATTAGCACTGAAAGGTACCCGGGATGTCAGGGGTAATTAGCACTGAAAGGTACACGGGATGTCTTGGGTAATTAGCACTGAAAGGTACACGGGATGCCGGGGGTAATTAGCACTGAAAGGTACACGGGATGTCGGGGGTAATTAGCATTGATAGGTAAAGGAAATTGAAAAAGCAAAGGACAAATGGAAGCCAGCTAGATAATTGGCACTGACAAAGTCGAAAGAAATAGGTCCCTAGCACTAGGCAGATATGTTCACAGCTTGGGATGTATTGCTTTTATCTTTGTCAGTGCCAATTTTCGAGCTGGCAAATTCTGCATCCGCGATGGAAAGAAGCTGCAAACCTACTTGTGTCATGACACAAGAGGTCCAGAATATCAACACCCCAGAAACCTATGATTGTGGGTTTGAATCCCGGTTCGTCCCTATTATGTATCTAGGTTTGTTAGCAGTATTCCCGTATTCGTGGGTTTCGTGTGAGACTTGCATCACCTCGGCCTTTCCTCCCTCTTTAAGCTGACACGCTTTGATAAAACTGGAATACTGTTAAAAGTGGCTTGGACCCCAACTCATTCGCCCACTCTACCATAATTAAAATAGCCCTTTGTCGTCATCACTTTTTGACGATGCATTCCCAATCGGATCACAAATACTGCATTAAAGCAAGTATTAAGAGAGCTTACGTGTTATAGTGGATAATGAAAACCAATCATTTACTGGTGAGTAAGTGAGTGAGTATGGTTTTACGCCGCTTTTAACAATATTGCAGAAATATCACGGCGGGGGACACCAGAAATGGGATTGACACATTGTACCCATGTCGGGAATCGAACCCGGGATTTCAGCATGACGAGCGAACACTTTAACCACTAGGCTACCCGACCATCCCACATCATTTACTGAATGTAATAGTGAGTAGGTTGGGTTTAACACCGCTTTTAACATTATTCCAGTTATATCACGTCGTTTTGGGTTAAGGTGGGAGGAAAGCCCGAAGTGATTCAGGTCTCGGACGTTTACCAATTCGGTGAAACCCGCAGGTATGGTGCTGACAAACCTAGAAACAAAATCGGGCCAAACCGGGATTCGAACCCACAATCATAGGATTCTGGCGTGCCCAGGGGACGCAACTCTGCACAGCGAATCGCGGCGCCTTAGACGACGGGGCCACCCGTGCCACCACTGAATGTAATACTGTCAAAAGAATAATTATATTTTTTTATAATGTAATAAAAGTGTTGTTTTTTGTATTTCGTTACTGTGAAATTATTCTTGATAATTTAAATGATTAAAACTGAGCGATTGGTGGTTTAGGGAGTGATCCATAATTCGCCACCCAAAGCTCTACTCCAATCCCTTCGCCCAGAACCGTCACAATGTCCTTGTACATTAAAACACGAACATGATATATTCATACCTATCTACAATACAGCAGTATATTAGTTATAAAATACATTGGTAACTTACACCAAATTGCAGGTCAATGTGGAAATGTGAAAGTATTAAGTGATGTGAATCAATACCAATACTAGCTACAAACATCAATTATTATGTATTATTATCCCTAGCTGCTTAATTCAACAACCTACTAACCGTCAGAATGTTCAAATTAAGCAGAAAAAAAAGCTACAATTGATTTCCACACAGGAGCAGCACTCTGACTTAATAATGTGACTATTTTCAATGGGACATATAATAGTGATGTGACCATGTTCCACAGATACTGGAACCAACCCAACTTTTCTGGTTCAGAGTGGTTGTCGTTGGGTGCATTCCCATCTTGCTGCGGTGGAGAATCCTGCGGCCTGAAAAGAAAATTGAAATGGTGACAGGAACTCTATATACATGTACTTATTCACCAACTGAAATGGAATATGAGAAATTATGAATTTTCCCTTTTCGAAAATTTAAAATGAACGCTCTTTTTATACACTATTTTGTGAAGAAAAAGCGCGTTCACCAAGAGTTGGGACTCCAAAAATGATTCGGAAATTGTTACACAATACTTTATAGGATTCTTAAAATGACACAAGTAGTTTCATTGGATCTTCATGTTAGCCATGTCTGGGCATTTTGAGGTAACAGAGAAAGTGTGTATTATTGGTAAGAATAATGCCGGGATCTCATGTTGAGCCGTTGGTTGAATCATTTGTATCGAATCCAAAGTTAACCTTGACTCTATGCAAAAGTACCCTAACCAACAACTATCATGGGACGTGCTTCGTGGTTGTGTTTTGATGATCATGTTTTAACTATTACAGCCTGTAATTTTCATGATAAAAATACATTTGAATATATTGCATATATATTTGCTTGAATGATTAACACTTCCATGTATGTAAACTAGCAACCACGTGCCTAATTTAACCTGCGGTAATATACCGGTGATGATATTCTGTACACTGTGCGTCTACATCAATGCATTTTTGGAAAGATCTTCTTTTTTTCAGAATCAAGAACACAAAAGTAGAATTTCAGCATGTTCTGGGATGAAAACGACGACTTTAAGGTGTAGTGGACATAGCGTCTGCCTCGAAATTGGAGGATTGGTGATTCGACTCATATCACAGATATGCCTGACGCTTGGTAGTTAGGGTATAAAGTCAGTTGTGAGTGAGTATGGTTTTACGCCGCTTTTAGCATTATTCCAGGAATATCACGGTGGGGGACACCAGAAATGGACTTCACACATTGGACCCATGTCGGGAATTGAACCCGGGTCTTCAGCGTAATGAGCGATCGCTTTAACTACAAAACTACCCGACCCCCAGTAAGTCAGTTTCTCACTCGGCTATCATTGTAATGCCTGCATAAATCTGGATTAGTGGAACTGCTATGTGAGTGACATAATCTTGATCCCAAAGTTAAATGCCATTTCACCTCACTTGGGATGACCACTATCTTTTTGTAATATGTCTAACAACGGTAATTTTACTTCTTAAAACTATGTAGGAAGGCAAGAGATTTTAACATAAAACAGTAATGACCCAGCCCATTTGAAAAGCATGTATACTAATTAGACTGCTTAAGGAAACAAGACAGGTTTAAGTATCAAAGTACCAACAAGCTCAGTACCTGGTGCCATGTGACGTCGGCTTGACAAGTTCCATCAGGGCATCAACATCAATCCGAACAGCTGAATTTGACCTGGTAACAGACATGGTTTATCAAGAAATAGCGCAGCTGATACGAAAGCTAATAGCTGCTGGCTAATATACGAAAGATGGTGACACAGGTACGTGCACTGATATCTGACAGAGAAGGGGCGACCACTTTCGTCCACAGTATTATCAAAATAAAGTTATTCTGCCTCAGCAATTTTGGCTGAACTGTCCCTTTTTGGGGTTCCTGTGCGTGAGTAGGATACACATATTTGTTGTGAATTCTAGTATTGATAAGGTTTTTCATTTCGTATTGATATGATTTGATTTTTGATTTTTAGAAATTGATAGAATTTCTGTGCCTGCTCTGTTTATATACGTTCGAGTTGCTGTCCATCTCTCAGAAATAGAGTTAGTTTGGCCTTCACTATTGCATCCCTTGGCTTTAGGAGATCTATGACAGATAGCGGATCTAGCTGCAATTCTTGTTTTTACCGAGCCTGGGGTGGGGCATGGTCTTGACCTTCCAGAAACAAGTGAGCAATGGATTCAAGTTGATTGCAAGATGGGCATACCATGTCATAGTGCGTTTTGTCGCTAAGTCTGAGGCGTGAGATGGCTACTTTAAGTTTCCTTTCATTTAAGTATGAGAATGGCTTTTGGTGGATCTTTGGTTGAATTTTGCAAAGCCATCTGCCGATCTTACTTGTGTCCCAGTACATTGTAGTTTACTGAAGGGAATAGACGACGTCACCGCTTTGTCTAGAGCTAGCTTCGCCAGTGTGTCTGCTTATCAATGTACACTTATATATCTTATAATCAGGATGTATGTGGAGGCTGATGAGCCATCCCTTCAACACCGACGCATTAAATTATATTTACAGTATATCTCTAAATTACGTTCTACTGAATCCAATCCAGCATATGACTGTGTTTTTAATCCTCTGTACAAAAATCTATACAATAAAAAGACATCTCTTGTTCCACCCCTTGGCATAAGAATACAATCTGATGTTTCTGCTGCCAAAATCAATCTTGAAACCATAGCCCCCACTCGGCTGTTCACTTCTCCACCATGGCAGATAGTGAAACCCGAGGTAGACCTAACATTAAGTAAACTAAAGAAATCCGACACAAATCAATTAATTTATCAACAGCAATATAATGAATTACGAAGCACGTATGATACTCATAAATCTATATTTACAGATGGATCCAAGGATGGTGATGCTGTTGCCAGCGCCACCGTCATTGGATCCAGAACTATCTCAACCAGATTACCAGATAACTGTTCTATCTTCACAGCAGAAGCACATGCTATTTTAACGGCTCTAAAATACATCAACAGCCAAACTAAACATAAACCGTTCATTATTTTTTCAGACTCTCTTTCTTGCATTCAAGCTATTAAAACATGTCTTCCACGCATCCACTTTAAATGGAAATTGTTGAAATGTTTAATGATCTTGCTACTGGCCAATAAGACATCGTTTTCTGTTGGTTACCAAACCATGTTGGAATCACTGGTAATACAATGGCCGATGCTGCAGCTAAAGCAGCACTCAACAAATCTGTGACACCACTACAGTCATTATAAACCCGTGATTAGATCTTACATCCAAAAGAAGTGGGACACTCAAGTAGGTATCAATAAATTACATGAAATTAAACCAACTATCGGTTACACCTACTTGGCTGTCAGTCCAGATTTGAAGAGGTCATAATGCGACGATGTCGTATTGGCCACAGTAGATATACACATGAGTATATATTAAAAGGTGAGGAACCTCCGTTTTGTGTCCCTTGTGATGAAAGAATCACGGTCAAGCATGTCCTGCTTGACTGCATTGATTTTTCCATCACAAGGGATAAATATTATAGTGTCAAAACAGTCAAGGACCTTTTTAATCAAGTTAATTCTCATTTTGTATTGTAGTTTTTAAAGGAAATTTTTTAAATACATAAATTTTGATGTACATAATATGTTTTTATATATTAGTAGTGCTAATATATAACTTAGATTGTTAGTGGCTGTACCCTCGAGGGGGGTTGAAGTAGCGTAAAATTATTGTCCCCCTAAGAGGGTATGTAAGTTCCACGTCATTCGAAGTATTTTTATGCAGACCAGACTTTTAAAACGTAGCATTTTTGTCATTTTAAATCTCAGGCTTAACTTGTAATCTATCGCCAGTGGCTGAAGGGGTGATATAAATCCTGCCGGGGTCCATGCAGGAAGCAAAGGTACTGTAAGTCCCCATGGTCCCTAGTATGGCGATCTCCCTTTAGTTACTGACGATCCCTAGCCCATTTTTATATTGTGATGTTCACTGTTACTTATGGATTTTGTATATTCTCAACTAGTTTTAAATTGAATCTGTGATATCCTAGTTATTGTACTGTCCTTCGTTGACAGTTTTTTATTTAGTCTAAATCTATGTATTATTAATGTACTTCTCGTCACGATATGGCTGAAATACTGCCGATGTGACGTTAAATCTTAACTCACTCACTTATATATCTCCTTGTAATTTTGTAAATTTTGAGAGCCATGCATTACCGCGCTATAACCGAATTAACGCTGTATTGATTGGTGCAGTAAGAATGTTGGTCATATTTACCTATGGTCAAGTAACATTTTTCATAAATTTTCAAACCCTGATTATCTATCACAATAATCATAAGCAAATCAATATTTACGTTTGATCCTCGCCAATACCATGTGTATGAATCCCATGTGCCACATATCTGCCGTTCTTCAGCTCGTACACCGGGGACCCACTGTTGCCAGGTGTAGTAGCATCTCGGTAATGTAATCTTCGCTCGTTGACAGTGACTGTTGTTAACTGGATTTCCCACTGAGTGCCAGGTGGGCAGCCAGGGACGCCCTCTTTCTGCTCTTCTGGAATCCCGGGATAACCAGCCATATACAGGTCCTGACTCTCGATGTATTCATCCGTTCGTGGTTCAAGGTCAAAGGCACAGCATTCGTCGACTTTGTGTTTCTCCTTGTCAAGACGGATGATTCCATAGTCGTTCTTGCGATCACGTGTTTCCATATATTCCCGAGGAACTTCAAAGTCCACTGCTTTCTTTGTGATTGTTCCAAATGGATGACGTGTTTCATCCCTCCCAAGACTGATGTGAATTTTAGCTATTAATGCTCTCTTTTTTTTGTCCCATAAACAATGAGCTGCAGTCACTAAAAATGTCCCGCCGCCATGTTTGACGAGAAATCCTGTCCCTATTTCTATTCCATTTTCATGTATTAAATGTGCAATACCTGAGTATGGCTTGTCTGTTGTGACGGCTACACGCTGTCGTTCATCTCCAATACCGCTGTCTACGGATTCCTGTCCCATTGTTATTGTGAGGAGGACTGTTGAACTGAGATAACACTATCGTAGGTAATCATACGACCGTCAGGACCAGGATGTGATACCCTTACATGATACCCGGACGTAATTGAGGCGCATGCGTTGTAGTTACATTTAGTTACAGATAAATGGTTGCATGGATGGCTAGTGAAATTCAAATGCCCGTTTATGACTGACAATCTATTCTAAAGAATATAGGCTAGAACGAAAGTAAGCTTTCTGTCGTGTTGTATATAAATGAACAAACCATCGCATTTGAGGATTTGTATAAACCAACGTCATCAACATTGAAAGACGAATACTCCTTTGACCGTATTGCCGAAACCGATATTAAATCCACAGTGCTGTACTTCTGTCGTCACGCACCTGTTCATATGGAGGGCATGACTTGATAACAACACCCGTGAGTCAGCGCCGCGTGAGACATGAGTTCAGACATGTTTAGTAAGTGGATGTGTCGATCAGTGTTTGCATGTACCATGAGTGTATTTCAAATGCTGACTGATAAATATTGTGTATGATTCACAATCTCTCCTGAGGAATATATGCGAGAACGAAAGTAGGCTTCCTGTGTCGTGATGTATTTATGCACACGCCATCACTTTTGATGATTTGTACAAACCAACGATTTAAATACTGCTTGACCGTCTTCTTGTATATTATGTACAGTAATTGCACTGACATTTCATTGGTCTCCACTGTCCACTTATACCTTGTTCAAGTCACGATATGGCTGAAATATTGCCGATGTGACTTTAAATATTAACTCACTCACACCCCACTGTCCACTTAACTCACCCATCCTTGTACCTTTTGTCACCATGCCCCAGGCGTCGAACCTGCCACCTCGTCCGTCAACAGGCCCTACCCATGAAGCATAGCACTACTTCTGTCATCACGGGGACGGTCGGGTAGCCTAGTGGTTAAAGCGTTCGCTCGTCACGCCGAAGACCCGGGTTCGATTCCCGACATGGTTACAATGTGTGAAGCCCATTTCTGGTGTCCCCCGTCGTGATATTGCTGGAATATTGCTAAAAGCGGCGTAAAACCATACTCACTCACTCACTCTGTCATCACGGCCTGCCAGTCACACCTGGCAACTCCTGACAACACGCCCTCCACATCACAGCTACTACCCCTTCTGAAACAGAACTGAACAGAACAGAACATTCATTTTCAAAAACACACAACAGTGGTATAGAGAACATACATTACGAAGTAGAATACAATTGTACAACGAATGTAGCACAATACAAGTAATTTGGAGTTAAAATATAATATGCATTATATATACATACATTATGCAATATATACATACATATTTGCAATCAATATATACATCATATTTGCATACATACCTGCGTAAATAGTTATATATTAAATTCTCTCTTGATATGTAGTGGCATGTAGATCACTCATTCTTTATACATACTGAGTCAAATTAAAAGCTTCACATTTTTAAAGGTAATCCCATATATGATATACAACGGACAAATGTATCAGAGAAGGTAATTTTTAATCAATAATGTCCAAAGAAGGATTTTAATTAACGGTGGTAACCATAATTTGTTCCAAGCACCTACGGTATTCGGTAATAACATCAACAGTTTAAATCATAAGTCCCAAGTACGAGAATTTGATGGCACACAAGTTCAGTAGCGTGTATGGCCACCATGTGCGTTGACAACTGCCACACAACGCCTCCGCATGGACCTTGTGATGCTTGTGAACACAGGATTGGGAAGACGACGCCATATATATATGTAAGCTTACTCTCAGTTTCACATATATATAAGGCCATATAACTTTACTACTTACTATTAAATCTGAACTAAAAGTTATGTAACATAAGGTCTTGAGCCTGCCACATGTACTCGTTGATTGTACTCGTAGTATGTAATCATAGACTGTACTCGTAGTATGTAATCATAGATTGTACTTGTAGTATGTACTCGTTGATTGTACTTGTAGTTTGTACTCATAGATTGTATTCGTTGTATGTTTTATTCAACAACTCACTATTAAAGCGGGCTATAGATCACCAGCAACCAAACGATGCTCCTGCTTCCTGCACGGTTCCACAGCAGGGTTTACGTCATCCCTTAGCTGCTGTCGATAGTACGTAAATATACTAAGATTAAAACAATGCCAGGAACAAAATACTTTGTATGATGTGGTCTAACATACCCTCTGAGCGGGACAATAATTTTACACTGCTTCAACTCCCTTTGAGGATACAGTCACTAACCATCAAAGTCATAAATTGAACAGTACAAATATCATGAAATTTAACTATATGAACATATTCAAAATTTATCAATTCAACACAGTCAAGCAGGACACGTTTGGGTGTGATTTTCTAATCGCAAGGGACACAGAACGGAGGATCCTCGCCTTTCTATACATATTCACGAGTTTAGCGTGAATTGCCAATACAACATCGTCGCATAAAGACCTTTTAAATCTGGATTGACAACTTAAGTAGGTGTAACCAATAGTTCGCTGGGGTCCATGGGGACTTACAGTGCCTTTGTTTCCTGCATGGACCCCGGCAGGATTTATATCATTCCTTCAGTCACTGGCGATAGTTTGCCATTTAAATCTTATATTAAAATGACGAAAAAACTACGTTAAAAGTCTGGCATGCATAGAAATACTTCGAATACTTCGAATGACATCGTTGCATAAAGACCTTTTAAATCTGGACTGACAACTCAAGTAGGTGTAACCAATAGTTCGCTCGTCACGCCGAAGACCAGGGTTCGATTCCCGACATGGGTACAATATGTGAAGCCCATTGCTTGTGTCTCCTAGATTAAAGCGGCGTAATACACATTCAACAGTGTATGTTGTTTTGGTGGTGACAATTGAAGTGTGTGACAAATGAGAGGCTATCCATAAAAATAAACATCATCACTGATTTTCATTATAATGGAAAGGGTTGTGTCACTTTTATTTACACCATCATCACAGTAAATATGTAAAACAGGTCGCAGCGACCTAAACGTTACGTGATGTTGTCGCGTTACCAAGGGCAACTGTGACTGCACTAGTTAGAAATAGCGACCCGTCACGCTGTGTTAGAGTCCCTCTGTCGTCAAGTTGTACCATGGGCAGCCGTGTGTACTATAGCTAGAAATAGCCTCCCTAATACACACAGGATAAACGGCTGGCAATCACTTTGAACACTTGTCATTGTTGTCATAGTTTTTTAAATATTTTATCAGACCTGCACTAGGTACACTCACAGATTCGTCACAGATTCGGGTTATCTGACATTGTACGCCAACAAGGTCTAGCGAATTGCTGTATGACCAGCTTGGAATGAATTGAATTCATTTTGTTATTAGGAGGTCAGAAAATGGGAAGATAAAAAGATAGTAACATTTATCACCAGTATAATTCATGCAGTTCCTATTCGTAAGAATGAATAACCGGGTTAAGCGAGGATTGTTAAAGGACGTGGAAGTCATATCAATATCGTGGATACAAATTATTGCTGACGTGAGTGAGCATAGTTTTACGCCGCATTTAGCAATATTCCAGCAATATCACGGCGGGTGACACCAAAACTAGGCCTCACACATTGTACCCATGTGGGGAATGAGCGAACGATTTGACCGCTAGACTACCCAACCGCCTCTAATGATGTCGTGAATAAATATAATGGACGTGTGTGGTAGTAGTATTTCACTACTCAGCATCAGCAATATCCTATCACAACGGAGGATTTAAAACACCAAATCTAGATCAGACCACCCAGTGGTTGATAACTTGAACAACGCTTCACGCCGTCAGGGTACGAAGACACACAATCAGTGTGGTAATAATAATAATAACATACTACTAGTACAATCTATGATTACATACTACGAGTACAATCTATGATTACATACTACAAGTACAATCTATGATTACATACTACGAGTACAATCTATGATTACATACTACAAGTACAATCTATGATTACATATAACGAGTACAATCTATGATTACATATTACAAGTACAATCTATGATTACATATTACGAGTACAATCTATGATTACATACTACGAGTACAATCTATGATTACATACTGCAAGTACAATCTATGATTACATATAATGAGTACAATCTATGATTACATTTTACGAGTACAATCTATGATTACACACTACGAGTACAATCTATGATTACATACTGCAAGTACAATCTATGATTACATATAACGAGTACAATCTTTGATTACATACTACGAGTACAATATATGATTACATACGAGTACAATCTATGATTACATACTACGAGTAAAATCTATGATTACATACTACGAGTACAATATATGATTACATACTACGAGTACAATCTATGATTACATACTACGAGTACAATCTATGATTACATACTACGAGTACAATCTAAGATTACATATAACGAGTACAATCTTTGATTACATACTACGAGTACAATATATGATTACATACTACGAGTACAATCTATGATTACATACTACGAGTTCAATCTATGATTACATACCACAAGTACAATCTATGAGTACATACTACAAGTACAATCTATGATAACATTCTACGAGTACAATCTATGATTACATACTACAAGTACAATCTATGAGTACATACTACAAGTACAATCTATGATTACATACTACAAGTACAATCTATGATTACATGCTACAAGTACAATCTATGATTACATACTAAAAGTACAATCTATGATTACATACTACAAGTACAATCTATGATAACATACTACGAGTACAATCTATGATTACATACTACAAGTACAATCTATGAGTACATACTACAAGTACAATCTATGATAACATACTACGAGTACAATCTTTGATTACATACTACAAGTACAATCTATGATTACATACTACAAGTACAATCTATGATTACATACTACAAGTACAATCTATGATTACATACTACAAGTACAATCTATGATAACATACTACGAGTACAATCTATGATTACATACTACGAGTACAATCTATGATTACATACTACAAGTACAATCTATGATTACATATTACGATTTCAATCTTTGATTACATACTACAAGTACAATCTATGAGTACATACTACAAGTACAATCTATGATTACATATTACGAGTACAATCTATGATTACATACGAGTACAATCTATGATTACATACTACGTGTACAATCTATGATTACATGCTACGAGTAAAATATATGAGTACATACTACAAGTACAATTTGTGATTACATACTACGAGTACAATCTATGATTTCTTACTACAAGTACAATCTATGATTACATACTACGAGTACAATCTATGATTACATATTACGAGTACAATCTA